CCTTTCTCCATGGAATGCAAATTTTAGTATAACTATGCCCCTCTCTCCATTATGCTATGACCAGGTTGTTGGGGGAGCATTGTGTATTTTCCTCAGTCCTTGTCCCTGCCACAACAAAGAATTGAAGGGCAGAGACACAGTAGTGAAGCAGAGTAAAACTTTTATTTAAAGTTACTTACTTACAGAGAGAAAATGTACAGGTGACCTCAGGGAGGAGAGGCACCCTGAAAGGTTGGAGAAAGTTTAAGGCTGCACACTTAGAAAGTATGGCTGACCTCAGAGGGAGGTGTGCTGAAAGATTGGGATGAAGTTAAAGTTATGCACTTAGAAAGTGTGGGTGACCCCAGAGAGAGGAGTGCACTGAAGGGTTGAAAAGAGAAAGTTTAAAGTTAAAAGGTTATGCATTTAGAAAGTGCAGGCCACCTCAGAGAGAGGAGCACCCTGAAAGGTTGGGGGATCCCCCTTATAAGGATTTTTCAGGAATGTGAGCACAGGCTGGGGGTACAGACTTGTTAAGTGGTCCCTGAATATTTAAAATATATTTAACACAAGGAATTTACTGCTCTGATTTCTCCCTGAGATACTGGCATCTTGGTCTGGGAGCATATCAAACAAGACTGCCTGCCCAAGCCCCCAAGGTGGGCTGAGCTAATGTCTGCTTGCTAAAGAGTAAGTTAAGAATCTTACTTCATAACTTTCTGGGTTTTAAAATGCAATCTTATTTTTAAGATGGAATCCTTCCTGCCTTTTACTATGCTATTGAATGCTGGGCCTGCTTGCTAAATTAGTTGCCCAGGTTGCAAATTACTTGATTAGGGCTGAAGGAGAAAAAAACAGCATATAGGTAAAGTTAAAAAATAAGCTGGGCCTGCATGATTAACACAATAAAGACATGGCTATGTCTAGGTATCCTCCTTTATCTGGGGAATATTCAAGCATTCCAGGCCAAGTTGCTCCTGTCTTTTTGAGCTTTAACTGATTAACTCTGGGTCTTTTTTAGTGGGCTTTTTACTGGCCTTATTCTCTTTCCACCAAGTTCATACCTATTTTCCTGCCTAACACAGGTCACTCTCTATATCAGAATCTTTTCACCTTCAGATGGGACCTATTTCAAAGACAGGGCTTTACTCTGTTAGGGTGTGCATAACCAACTACAGTAGATTCGGAGGTGTATCACGGGCTTTACAGGTGCATCAATCCTTGTGTTTACAAACAATACAATCCCTTCATGAATTCTTAGGCCATGAGGATATATTAGACTCTCTAGGCTTTTTTTCACTATACAGGCCTCTGTAAACAGTAATGTGGGAGGTCACAGACACAAAGACCCTTTGTTACAAGTTTAAATGTTCCCATCTGTGGGTATTGCATTGGAGATGTTGAAGTGCAGTGTGATAATGATAAACCTAGGGTGTTATGGGAACATGTAAGGGCACTTTACCCAATTTGGGAAGGCTGCATGGAAAGTTCACCCCAGAGGAGGCTAATGGTTAAGCTGAGACATGAAGTAGAAGTCTGCAGAGGAGGGAGGTGGAAAATTCTACTGTGAGTAAAATGCTATCAAACAGCATCACATGCTATAGAACAATTATTCATGAAAGGAAGAGTCAATCAATGCAGCAAACTTAATTGTCTTAAGAAACTGCCACAGCCACCCCAGCCTTGAGCAACCACCACCCAGATCAGTCAGTAGCCATCAGTATCAAGGCAAGAACTTCTACCAGCAAAAAGATGACAACTTGCTGAAAGTTCAGATGATGGTTAGCAGTTTTAGGTATATTTTTTAATTAAGGTATATACTTTTTTAGCCATAATGCTATTGTATACTGAATAGACTAACCATGACTTTTATATGCACTGGGAAACCAAAAAATTGACTTGACTAACTTTATTGCTATATTTGCTTTATTGTGGTAGTCTGAAAGCAAACCTGCAGTATCCCCAAGGTGTGCCTGTAATATGTTACTTCATGCATTAAGAAAATGGAAGCAGAGGAAGATTATGATAAATCATGTTCACCATCCTCTAATGAAATGTGTTTTCCCATATCTCATTGCACAGTAACCCCCATAAGTATACAGAGACAGACACCTCCTCCACACTATCTCAGGTAAACACATATGTTTTAAGCTACTGACTTTTGGAGAGGAGGCCCCTATTTCTGCCTTCTAAACTATTCTAGTATCAGTGATGTTGGGAGAATAAAACTGGTTAGTAAAGTGAATTTGGTTCGTTTGGGGTCTACTGGAGCTCTCAAATAATATTCCATGAGTATCCACTTCTTCCATCTATTTTTCCAAATAGGAAATTCAAATCGTTCTCACAATCAAAGAGATTACTCCATCGCCTCCAACAGTATAATATCTAACATTTGCTCCTTTCTTATAATTTTAGTGTCACCTATGTGTCCTGACCTTCTGAGAGTCAGGCCACTGATTTCTACCCATTAATATTTAATATTATAAATATAGAAGTTGTATTTCAAAAAATTAATTGATTCTCAATCTCTGCTTCAAAGAAGGTATGAATTCAATTGTAAAAATTTATCATCATTAGATTGCAAACTATTAGAATATGGAGATGAATATATATATATATTTATATATTCATGTTACATACATATAACATATTATCCTCTAAATTGCACTTCTGGTCTGATCCATATAAGTCTAGAGTATAAAATACGTATTTCATGTCTAAAATAGTTTTAAAATAAAAACTGGAGAATTGTAAATAAGTCACAAAATCCAGGTCAGTCATTGCTGCCATTGTTTCTAAGGAAATTTTTTCATAAAGAAGGTTGTGGATTGACATTTCAAGAGAAGAAGTGGTGACCTTTACAGAATTACTTCCTCTTATTATTATTAACATGGGGACTGATTTGGTACTAATTTTTTTTTTTTAAGAGATTGAGAGAGAGAATGGAGAAGGAAGAGTGAGAGGAAGGGAGGGAGGGAGGGAGGGAAGAAATCTAGAATAATTTTTTTTGCAGATTCTAAGAGTTGGATTTAGGTCTTGCACCACTGTTTATCTTGCCTTTCAAAAGCTTCAGTGCCCTTTCCTCAGTTCATTTTGACCTGGAAGTCTATTTTCTTACAGCAAACACTGCCAATAAGTTGCACGTTGATGTGAATCCTCACATCATTTCTGACAATGCTGCGAGGCTGAGTTTTTATATGTGGTATTTCTCTTGAATCCATTGGGCCATGAGTGATGATATGGTATGCCATTGGCATTCCTGGACTGAATACAGATGCCAATTGACCTTAGTATGTAGGACCGCCAAAGCACAAACCTTTTTTTTCCCCCTGATCTGGGACAATCCTGTGAATGGCACCATCATTCTCATATCTGATAGCTTTAACACTGAATGCTTAAATGCTAGCAATGCAATGGTCACTATTATATTACAATCTCACTTTTAAATGTTTTCTAGGAAGTCCCAAACCAATCTGTCTGCAAACCAGTAACATCTAAGTAATATGCCCTTTGTCTAGGAATGTTATCTTCACATTTTTAGCTGAATTGTGATCCATATCACAAGCTACATAATGGAATTTTTAATGGTATCTTTAAAAGGATACCCAAATAATCCATCACTCATATATATCTCTGAATAGAGAAAATGTCTCTTTCTTTCTCACCTCTCCATGGTGTTATTGCATTATAAAGCACTTTAAGCTTATGACTGTTTGGCTCAGTGATCTCATACCATGGTGTTAATGAGGCTAAGGTCATGGAGGCCAGTTAGCTTTGCCTTGTTTATTGACCACAGACTATCGGGAATCAGTCAAGAGACACTAGCACAGATGAGAAAGGTACATGGCAAAACCTCAACACTTCTCCTAGCGCACCCCCCTATAGAACAAGACAATGTGTTCCCTGGGCATCATCATCTTAGGTGGGAAATGAGTAGTAGCTTGGGAGGCCCTAACATCTACCTCTGAACAAAGCAGGCCTGACATTTAGGCATTAACTTTGCATTATAATCCCCTACCATACCATTGATTTGCTGTGTAACCTTCAACACTAAAGCAGAGATAATAGGATAAAATGAAATGGGCTTACCTCCCGGGGATGTTGTGTGAATTAGCAAATTAACGAGTATAAAGTGTTAGCATTTATGTAAGTGCTGGTGGTTGTCATTATTTCTAGGGACCTAGTCTCATTCTAAATAGAGAATCTAAGTGTATTATGCTTTTGTCAGAAAGAGATTTTCACCCACATCAATTGCATTTAAGCTGAGTATAAAATAGAGGTGATAATAACATAATAGTCATCATCACAATGCAGAGCTGTAAACCTTTTTCCTATTAAAGCTAAAAGTATTTTCAGCAACGTTCAGTGCTTTTAAACTTTGCTTTCCAAGCTCTGTGCCAACAGTTATCTCTACACTGATTATTCTTCTTGTGATGGGTGAGGGGAATGGGACCTACTCATTATTCATTCCCATAATGACTATATAATGTATTGAATTTGTTTACATCACACAATCAGGCAGACTCAGTAGCTGGTTTGATTGCCACGTATTGCAATCATTGTAAAAAATAAAAAATAAAAACTCTTTTCTACTCTCTGCCCACGCTGGTGTCCTCTAGAGGTAGCCAACATACAGATTGAAAACTCTTGGGGAATTGAAATGCTTTCCAACAAAAGGCACTGTACGTAGATCCTTTTCATTTAACATCTTTACCAAGGAATTTTGTTGTCGCCTGCTATTTCCAAGGGGACTGTGCTTGAGAGAATTCTTCCATTTCTTTCATCACTCTGACTTCACTTACTGAGAAAAGTCATTTATTGCTGATTGCAGAACTCTTGAACTCAGCCTGGTAGCTTGCTGCATGTACTTCTCAGATCTGGGGTCCTTGTTACTTATTTACATACTCATTTGAAGTTATTTTTTTCAGGACTACTTGAAAGGCTCTCTCGACCTGACATTGTATCATAGCTGAGATCTAACGCTCACCGTGTTTTTGGTTCTTTTTCTCTTTGTCTTACAGATACCAGACGAGTACCTTTGGAAAGGTCCCGCTCTCGCCACAATGGAGCTTTCGCATCTAAGTGATTCCCAATGCCAAAGAACATGAAAATATTTAAGTCAACAAAATTTACTTTTAGAGAGCAAAACATGCATTCAAGGAATGGGGAGAGAATAACTGCATTTCTACAAACAGCAAGCGAAGCTGGGTGAGATAGTGTGCATTTGTAAAGCTATTCCAAGACTCCTCCCACAGTTCCACTAATATGAGCACAATCATCAGGATCGTAAGATGTGTTCCGTTTTAGTGAAAAGATGTGGATTACTTGTTATTGTGTGTGACCTGATGGTGATGATGAATGGTATAAAAACAGTTCTAAGGCTTTCAAAGACATTTCGCCTATCAAAAATTTACAAATTTACTCAAATGTGTAGGTCCCTCCAAATAAAAAGGAAGAGAAAAGAAAGAGAATTATTCAATGTCCTCTTGTAATTCCTGTCGCATAGAAAAAGAAAGGGCCAGTGCAAATGTGATTTGGAGAGGCACTAATATTGCACACTCTGTAAGAGAAGCCACTTTGGAAATGCAAAAAAAAGCCCTGCTTCACTCGTGTCAAGTTATTCAGAATCTTATCACAAGTGAAAGCTGATGGATTCATCTGCTTTGGCTTGAAATTAAATTTATCATCAATCTAGAGTTTCAGCATGATATTGCAGGCACTTATCATTGCTAAAAATAAACCAAAGTTTAACAGAAGCAGTTAGAGAAAGTGATTTAAACTTTATTTAAAGAGGTATTTTCTAATTGTGCACATATATCTACTTTATACAAATAACTTTATATGGCTATTTTTGAGAAAAACCTCACATTTTAATGTTTATGCTAGGGACAGACCTGAAAATTCTATTACCTTTATTTAGATTTTTAAAGGTAAATATCAATTCCTACTCTTTGTGGTTTACTTCTTCTACTGCCTCTGTTGCCTCTTTCTCCCATGACCCCCTTGAAGGCAGAGAATAGAGTTCTAGAAAACCTGAGAGGAAAAATATTTCTCTCTGCAGGAAGCAGCAGAAACTGTCTGAAAGGTCAATTGTTTTATCTGTCTTCCTACTCCCTTTCCAATTCTGCCTTGATGGCCTGAAGAAGAAAAAGAAATTGTATGTATGTATGTGTATATATGAATATATATTTATATTTCCTATTACAATAATTCCACATCCCAGTGACCAAGTGAACTTCTCAATCATCATCATATTTGCCTACCTTACATTAACATATTAAAGTGATGCTGCCAAACAGCCCTAGGAGAAAAAATGGGCTGTACATTTTTCTTAAAGAGATGAGAGAGTAGAAGTTACACTTAACTTGTCTGTTGTTTGAAAATATGCATTGAAATAATGTGTAACTTCTCTAGAGTGCAATTTTAAGACTAATCCATGCAGATGATTGTGATTATCATAAAAGATTTCTTACTATGACTATTTCTTATACAGAATATCCTATTTCTACTCCTCCAAAGCACATTCTCGATATTCAGAAAGAACAAATGACTGGCTTGCCAAGTCGCTACCGGAGATAATGTAAGCAAGTGACCAGTAGCTCACAGTTTCCTTTAATACAGATGTACAGTGATTCAGACTTCTGCCTGTTCCTCCAGTGCATTCTTTCTTGGCAATTATGCTTTAAAAAGCTCTGAAGCTGCTACATTAGAAAAATCAGGCAGAATAACAGTATCTGAGATTTTACCATTTTAAATTATCTGAGGACACACACATATGCGCACACAAACAAGTTTAAGGGACATAATTTCATACCCTGTTTTTGTAACAACAACAGAGACCTAAGTTCTACAAGTTCATGTAAATAAGCTGTGTATTTTTGACTTCACAAAGTCTTTTCAGAATCTTCATGGTATGGCTTCTTTCAGTCTTTTGACAGCTTTTCCAGCTCTGGGAAAATGATTATTTTGAAATATTAACCCTGACTGAAATCTGGGGGTATTTGCCATGCCATATTACCAAGCTGGTTAAAGGTGGAAACACAAATGTGTATCACCTTTTCCAGATGTGAACTTGCCTTATTTTTTAGTTTGTGAAAAAAAAATTGAAGAACTATTACTAATAAATTATATCTTTGTATTTAGAAGCAGTCCCATATGTTTTTTACAAACATTATGAACTATTTCAGGGTCTTTCATGAAGTTTTAATAATTGAATTTAAGGGTTTGCTTCCCAGATTTGTAATGGTCCTGCTCTAGCCATTTGCAGTTTTGTTGCAGTTTGAAAATTATCACCAAAAACAAGAGAGTAGCATTTTTAGTATATTATACTAAGTCTTTTGTTGGGTTTATTACTGCCCCATGTGAGAAGTACCAATTTATGCAGATTTTCTTCAGAATGTTTCTAAAAGTGCAAAACCCTTTAAATGTTTACCAGTCATATTAGTTTCTTTGGCTGCTATAACAAATCAACACAAACTTGGTGGTGTGACACATCAGAAGTGTATTCTCTCATGGTTCAGGTGGCCAGATGTCCAAAATCAGGGGCCATACTCCCTCCAGAGGCTCTAGAGGAGCAACATCTTCCCTTGCCTCTTCCAGCATGTGGTAGCTAGTGGCGTACCTGGGTTATGGCAGCGTTCCCTCTCTGCTTCTTCACCTTCACATCACCATCACCTTCCTGTGTATCTAATCTTCCTATGCTTTTCTCTTATGAGGACACTTTTGCTGGAATTTAGGGCCCACCCACATAATCCAGGATAATTTCGTCTCAAGATCCTAAACTTGGTCACATCTGTAGGACCCTTTTTCCAATTAAGGTTCTAGCGATTAAGGTGTGGATGAGTCTTTTTAGAGGTGACAGTCAACCCACTACAACCTGACCTCTGGCCCTCCAAATTTGTCCCCTGTGTAAAATATATTCCCCCATACCAACACCCCCAAAAGTCTCAACCCATCAACTGGAACAACAACTCTAAATCTAAAATCTCATCCAAACATCATCAGGTCAAAAGTCACAAATGTCATCAGCTAAATCAGGACTAGGTGAAAATCCTGGGGGCAAAATTCCTCTCCACCTGTGAACCAGTGAAACAAGTTACCTGCTTGCAAAATAAAATGGTGGGACAGGTATAAGGTTAATAGTTATAGATCCTGTTCCAAAAAGGAGAAAATGGAAAGGAGTTCCCTGTCCTGATGATTTTCAAACTTCAGGCAGGAAAAATCCCTTTAGGTTTAAAGACCTCACAATAATTCTCCATGTCTCAGGCCCCCAACACTTTACGGCTGCAGCTCTGGCCTCTGGGTCATGAATTGAGTCTCTGCTTCTGTGCCCGTACTTGGGCTTCTGCCTCTGCCCTAGGGGCAAGCCTTTATATCATGGGGTAGCACATATTTGCAGCCTTATCAGCCTGCTTCCTGCCTGTAAAATTTTGGTCTTCTGACAGACTTCATTCATTTTGTCCTATGTGTCCCTCTCAGGGTAACCTAGGACTGTTTCTGCTGATACAACATTCTCAAAATCTTTGTAGGCCTCCCGGGTATGTCACATTGATTCAATAGTAAGACAAGAGAGTCCTCACAGATGTTTGCCAAATAATCCCATCTCTATTCCTGGCTTCTACTGAGATGATTGAATGGATCCATGGGGTCAATGCCTGCTCTCTTAAGTACTAGCCAAAGGTTGTCTAGCCACACCTTTGGCTCCATCTACAGAACACATTATCCTAACAGGAAATCTCCTAATTTTAGTATCTTTTGCAATCTGAATAGGCTCAAAATTTCCTGACCCACCAAGTGCTGGGTCCTTTCTGCTTAAGAGTTCTTTTCTCATTTTATCTCTTTCCTCTTGTATTTTACTTTAAGCTCAATCAGAAAGTAGGCCATTACCTCCAACACTTTGCTTGGAAATCTCCTCAGCTAAATATCCAAGTTCCTTTCCTAACTTTACAAATTCTACTTTCCACACAACTGCTAGAGACAATTCAGATAAGCTTTTGCTGCTGTATAACAAGGATCATCTTTCCTCTAGTTTCCAATAAAATGTTCCTCACTTCCTTCTGAGCTGTCACCAGAAGCACCTTTAGCATTCATATTTCTAACAATCTAGCAATCTATGATTTTTCAATCAAATGCAGCCTCTTCCAGTCTCTACCCATTGTCCAGTTCCAAAGCCACTTCCAAATGTTTAGGTATTTTAGTAGTACCTTACTGCCTGGTACTAAAATCTGTATTAGGTTAACAGCTTACTCCAAGCATGTTTAGCTTAAAACAACAGCAATGTACTTTGTTATTATTTTGGAGGCAAGAAGTCCTAACTTGCAATTTGGGCAGGGCTGCACTCTCTCTGGAGGTTCTAGGGGAAAATCCATTCCTATAGCCCCTTGCGGTTTCTTGTAACTGTCATCCTCCCTTGGCTTGATGCCAAATCTCTCTGTTCTATCTTCCCTCACCTTTCCCTCTGGATATCTAATCTACCTCTGCCTCTTTTTATAAAGACACTTGTGATGGCATTTAGGGCCCACCCAGCTTATCCATGATAATCTCCTCATCTCAAGATCTTAACTCAATTATATCTGTCAAGACCCTTTTTCCAAATAAAGTAACATCACAGGTTCCAGAAATTAAAACATGGACATGCCTTTGGGGAGCCACCAGTCAGCTCACTACACTAGTCATGGCACATAAATGTACTTTTTACTTTTTAAAATGGATTGTCAGTGCTCAAGCCAAATTCAAGGTTGTCTCTAAAAGCTATTGTTTGCACAGGCTACTGCATGCTTTGATGTTAAATAGCTAAACAGGTTTCTACACTTTAGTTTCATACGTTTGCTACTATAGCCAATTAGCCTGAAAAAAATAATTGGTTCCAACTGTGAGCTCTGGGATAGCTCTTCTGTCCCTTTTATGGAGTCTTTGACCAAATGTGTTCTATGATTCATGATGCAGGCATAAAACTACCTCTGATACAGAAGGCTTCTTTACAAACTTACTTTAGATATTGTGAATCCCTCAGCTGAAAGGAGCGGTGACCGCAAAGCCTGCTTTGATGGTATTCAGGGAGATTGTGGCCATGCCAAGACAACCAGAAGTAGTTAGATAGCAGTAGAACTGTGGGTTCATGCTCTCATTTTTCCTTGGAATAAACATCTGTCTCTTTACAAGACTAAGAATGACTTGTAATCTGTGTGTAATGCATACTTAATTATTCAATAAAGTTAAGATATAAATTAAATATTGTGCTGCCTGTGATAATTAATATTAAGGATGAGGAAAAGGTGCAAACTAAAGTATAATGATAGGACATAAGAACATTCTAGGAGAAGCTTTAACTGAACAGAAGAAGCCCAAGAGTGTTTCTTTAAGGACCTGGTCAGGTGGAAATCAAGGGCTATAGTCAAAAACACACATACCTGTGGGAATCATAAGATTTTTTTTAAGTATTCTTTAGCACTTCTTGCCAGTGTAGTGGAGAGGTGTTTGTACAACTTAAAAGTCCAGAAAAGTCAGAAGGGTGATTTACATCCTCTAGGGAAACTGTTTCTACAAAAACGGTTTTTCTGTCTTGATTATAGAATGAAAGCAAATGGGCTTCAAATGCTCAGGGGGGTAAAAATCTGGAATGAGTAATAAAGGATTGTATATAATTATTCTCTGGAGGACTTTCAAAAGAATCTCTCATCATAGATGGACTGACTTGAAGACAGAGGGTTGGACAAAGTAATAACCAGATCTATAAATGATATGATCCAAAGTGCCTGGCAAGACCATTGTTTCCCTTTGAATGGTTTGCTCCAGGTTTCCCCCAGAGACCCAAGTAGGCAACATTCCTTAGTAGGGAATCTGAAAACCGTAGAATCTACAACTAGGGGAATTTGAGCTTATAACTAAGAACTCAAAGGAAAGTGGCACCCTGGAAATTGAAAATACACATGCAATGTATGTAACATGGTGGCATGATTTTGATTTATAATAAAAAGAAAGCCAATAGCCAAAGATCCTATTTAAAGACTGAATTTATTTAGATGTCTAGAGTCCCAATAACCGCAAATAAACTACGACTACAGTTGGTATCCATTGCAGGGAAAAACAACTTGCAAATTCATCAATTATACAAACCGTGACTTTGTTCCAAGTTTTTAGAGATTAGCCAGAGTTCCATCTTTAGCCACTATCTTCGCTACTAGAGGTTCAGCCAGTATTTCACCTATATTTTCGCTAATTGAAGTTGAAACAATATTTCACCTTTCTATGTTTAAGAGCTAACCTCAGGAGCTCTTATTATTAGAAATAATAAACCTTCAACTTCTTTGCTTTGCAGAAGCCTCCAGTGTGGTTATTCTAATCACTGAGCACCCATTCAGTGCATGTTGCTTTTCAGGACACAATCATAAATGAAACCTAGCTCCCTCTCAGATCTAACAGTCTACTGGGAGATGGGACATGTTCAAAAAGAATCGTAATCCAAGATGGGAAGAATGTGACCAATGTCATAAGGGTAGTATAGGTGAAGCCTATGGCAGTTCAGGAAAAAATCACTTGGAAAGGTGAGGTACGGTAGGTATTAGGTGGGAAAGAGGTATCAGTCTAGACTTTTTGGTGGCAGTGGCATGTGAACTGAAATTTGAAGGGCCAGTATGTTTGGACATGTGAAGCTATTAGTCATCCAGTCAATATTTAATGAGCACCTACTGTGTAACCACAACAACTAGGCTCTAAGAACATAACAGTGAACCAGATAGATGTGTTTGCTATTCTCATGGAGCTTACGCCTTTCTGAGCAGGGAGGGAAGGAATGAGCAGAAATACAAACTCTGATATGCATCTACAGGAAATATTGAATAATTCGGTTGGACTAGAGTGTAAGGTCCATGAAAGGCAGCAGTAGCTGTGGGGTTTGTGCTTGCTTTCATAAATGGTAGGGAAATACTGAGGGATTTTAAGGAAAGAAATGATAAGGAGCACTTAAGAAAGATGATTCTAGAACTTCTGCATAGGAGAGAGATGGGAGAGGTCACAGTGGTCTGACTTTGTCGGAGGCTGTTGCAATAATACTTTCGATTTATAATGAGGGCCTAAACTAGGATAGCATCAGTGAAACAGATCCAAGTGGCATCAAAAGAACTGGCAGTCAATTAGACATGAGGGCATGAGAAAATCGAGGATTCAAATCGGACACCAAGGTTTCAGATCTGAGTGACAGATGAGCTGCTTTCAACAGAAAAATTGAACACAGGGATAGAGCTCATATTTGCAGTGATGCCATGGCTGTGCACAGCTGCAGCTCTGACATGTGATACAATCCTATTATCGCTGTTGTTGAATGGCTCATACAAGCGTATATGTAAGTAGCATCAAGTCATAAAGACAGAGAGCAGACAGGAGAACATGATTCGGCACAAGAACTTCAGTGATACAGTGGTTATGGTAATGAGGGCAAGGGTAAGTGCTCAAGGTTGTGCTCTTTTCCTTTCCCTCTTTTTCCCTTTCCTATTCCCTTCATTTTTCTTCTTAATACTACCAAAATCAAAACAATGAATGGCTATTCAAAGAAACAAAAAAATGACAAAGACTGACTGGGCTTTAAGATGTACTGATTCAGTTTTGGTCTCATACTGACAGGAAAGAAAGGCATCTGGATGGAGTATAATTTCTAGAAAAAGCTTTAATTAGTGATAGCTAGCAATTCTTAAGTGTCTGGTTACTATTTTAAGCCATACATTTAAAAGACTCCTGGACATTCACTACTCTCTAAAGGAACAGAAAATTCTCCTGTTTCCTTGTTTCCCCAGGAATCTCTCCAACTTCCAAATTGTGCCCAAGTCTATTCTCATTATGCTAAATACTTTCTATGCAAAGAACCAATAGGCTTCCCTTCCAAATACAATCAACTGCTGGGTACATATGACATGAAATGGCTCTGTTTGTGCTAGTACTCTTTTGTTTTGGAAGGGGACCTGGTTTACGAATCTGTTCCCTCTCACAGCTCCCTGCCCCCAAATACCTTGTGTTATGGTCCCTTCATTTTCCTAAAAGAAAAAAAAATCACAATAGGAATTAAATTGAAAATACCCAAATGGAAGTCTATGATATATAATAGCACAGTGGCCTAGACTTTCTGCCAAAATCAAGCCATGAAATATTTTACCTGGCTGAAAACTAACAGCACCTATGGTGGTGCTTGGGGGAGGGAAGGAAGGGAAATAAAAGGAGTTAGGAATAAGGCCCCTCAACAGAATTCAGTAGAATAATAAAAATCAAAGCATCTGTTAGATGCCAATGACCTTTTGACTCCAGAGCATTTGGGATAAAAAGCTGACTTGCTGTGACCTTATGTTCTGTGGTACTTTGTACTTTTGAGAGGACTTTCACTTTTCACAGCTATTATTCCATCATCTTATTTCCTTTATGTCTACAAGCATCCTCCAGTCTCCTCCATCCTATTAAAAAACAACAGCAACATTCCTGGGAATCTCTCTCCTTCAAGGCCACCAATGGCCACCTAATTGCCAAATCCTAGAATTCTTAATCCTCATCTCGCTTACTTTCTCCAACTCTTCCACAAAGTACACCTACCCTGTCCTCTCCCACCACTCAGAAAATTTCTCTGTCCCTTTGTTAGCAGTTATCTTCTCATGACCCTTAAATATAGGCAGGATCTCCAATGTTCATCTGTATGCACCCCACTGCTAGGGGCATCTTAGCCATTTTCATGGCTTTGCCCATTTCCTACCAGCAGATGACTGTGAGATCTCTCCTGAACCCCAGAACCACCTGCCCTCTGTAAAGGATAGCTCACACACTAAACTCAGTATGTTCCCAACCGATTACATTCTTCTCCCGCAAACTAGTCCCTCTAGCCAGGTTGCCTGTCTTATGGGTACTACACTTTTCCCAGTCTCTAAGGGCTAGTAACACTAGAAGCCTCCTGTATCATTCCCTCTCCCCTAATGCCCAGTCAGGCAGAGGAGTTCGCTTCCATTCTTCACACTGCTAGAGACTACTCCCTAAAATGTCTTTCTTGGCCCACTTCAAAAATTCTGATTGTCTCCCTTAATGAACAAAGCTAGGATGAGCTTCAAAGTTCCCAGAAATAGGCTCAAACTTAAATTTCAAACCTCTTCATTATCCCTCCAGCCATGCTATGCTGGAGCTTGTCAGTGATAAAAAGTGTTATCACATCCCTAAACATGTATATACCATGCCACCCTGTGGACATGCACTTTGACTGGTATGACCTCACAACCTGACTTCACCCTTTTTCTCTTATCAATCCTTCAAGGACCAATGCAGTCTTTCTGAAGCCTTCCCTAATTCTCCTTCCTTCATTAAAATAAATTGTGTTATCTATGCTGCCATAGCAATTTGTTCATACTCCTATTATGGCCCTTATTTCATTCTATCTTCTACTAAAGTTAGTTGTCTGTGTCCTTGACTAAACTGGAAGTTTCTTGATACCAATGACTGTCTCATTCATCTCTGGGCTTTTACACAAAGCAATTGCTCAATGAATTAATGTGTAGTGTCAACTCTTGGTGAATTAAACAAATGAAAAAGAATGTTTGGTAGAGGTAATGGAAAATCACAGCCAATTTCCTCACCCAGGTGAGAACATAGCCTTCACCATTGTCCTGGGAACTGAGGGCCTGCCTAAGGTCAGGATTGAGGACAGGCAACCCCAACTGTGGATGACTCAAAGTTGATTTCAGAGGACTATTTTCAGGAGCTGGTGACTGATTGAAGACAAAGAGGAAGGTTTTTCCTCCAAGGTCAAGCTTTTAACAAGTATCAGCAATGTACACTGAGGGATTTGGCTGTACTCCAATTATGCTAATATGTTTTATATATGGGCTCCAGCATCTAGGAACCACCTCCCTAAACAATTTAATAAGTGTAAATATCAAGACAGAGTTGTAAATGTGGAACTTATTTATAATGTACCAACCTTGTTATTATCAAATGTCATGGGGTATAAGTCATGGCAATTATGCTGCCTGCTTTTCATTACATTTATTTTACTTTTTAAAAGTGCAGTATATTCCCATAAGCTTCCCCTCCTCTGCCCTGCCTAAGTAACCTCTCCTGGCTGTGTGTTCCACAGTCACAGAAGGCAGGAACTTTAGGGTCACAGGAGTAATGGGCATCACTGCAGGAAAGGGACCTCATGGGTCATTGCCTCCACCCACTGACACTGCTGTGTCCTCAGCCAGAGGCTTCGCTGTTTCAACAGTTCAA